GCAGGCAGCTGCCACCTCAGGGACAGCTGACAGGACCTGGGGACAACAGCAGCGTCAGTGCAGGGTGGTGGTGGTGCTGCAGTGGTAAGGATGAGAGCAATGAACCACAACTCTCACCTCTTTCATCTTCTCCTGCATCTCCTCATGGGTCCTCAGCACTTTGGAGCCTCAGCTCCAGCCCTCGGACCTGTGAGGGGGGATACATGTTGGGAACTTGCCTCAAAATTGGGCAAGGACCATCCCAGGAAGGAGAGGCCACCAGAGCCAGGGCAGCCCCTCACAGCTCCCCATACCTGCTCCAGGTACTTGTCAGAGAGCAGCAGATTCTCATCCTCTTTCTCCAGGAGCAGCAGCCGCAGTTTGTCCACCTGCAAAAAGAACAAGCACCACTGAGAGCTCACTGTGAACAAGAGCCATGGGGTGAGGTGCAAGGTCTGGAGAGGTCCCCTGACCATGGAGTGGTGGTGACACAAGGAACTCTCAGCCCCAGCAGCCCCCCAGCCTCACCTCCTGCCGCAGCAGGACTCGCTCCTGGACATAGGCAGCATCCACCTTGGGCTCCTGCCCCCTCATCTCCTCCCACAGCACCTTGGCCTCCGTCTCCGCACGCTGGAGCGAGCGCTTCAGCTGGGAGACCTCTCCCTTCAGCCTCTGCAGGGGGAAAGGAGATGCTAAGAGGGGTCCTGCAGCCAGCACCCCCAAGGCACACAGCCCAGCTGGGCCCCCATCACACACCATAACTTCCCCACTCTTGTCAATGAGTTGCAGCATCCTCGCTTCCTGCCGTTTCACCGCGTCCTGCAGCTCCTTCTCGTTCTGCAGTGGGGAAGAAGCGGTGTCAGACAATGCCCAGCCCTGGCCACCCCCAGCACCTCAGGGCAGGGAGCAGGTTTTCTCATGTTTGAGAAGGTCAGATGAGGCAGGAGCACCCATGGGGCATCACCAGACCTAGTCACCCAGATTTCTCTGCGTCCTAGATCAGCGCCTGTCCCAGTTCGGCTCTGCCCTGGGGTGAGAGCTGGCCCACTTCTGGCACCGCCTCACCTCTAGCTTGCCCCTCAGCGTCTTGTTCAGCTTGGCAATGGTGGCAGCCTGGGCATCCATCTTCTCCTGGCTCTCGGTTGTCACCGTCTCCAGACGGAGCTGCAGGTCAGAGCTGGGAGAGGACAACAGTGCTGTTCAGGTGAGGATTGCAGCCGAGTGTGGTGCCAGGTACCAAAACCCCTCTTGGGCATCCCACCAGCCCCATGGTTGGAGAGGCCAACCCGCCAGCCTGGCCAGCTGGAAAAATCCCTTGTAGCCATGGCAGGAGAGGTCTAATCTAGAGCTGGAGCAAGAGGCAGACAACCAGGCAGGCTTCCCACAGGAGATACCATGCCTGGGAAAGCACTGCCCGTGCCTGGCTCTGGACACAAGCTCCCACTGAACTCACATCTCCATCTGCAGTGCCTTGAACTCGCTCTGCTCCAGCTCCTGGATGCGGGAGCTCAGCATGGTGAGGCTGGAGACCACAGCTCTCAGCTCCTTCACACTCTCCAGCAAACCATCCTCAGGCTCTGTGGGCAGGGCAAAGGCTCGTGAGCGTCACAGAGAGAACATCACCCCCAGGGGACACAGAGCCAAGCAGGAAGGCATGTCTGCTTGTCCCCCCGTGCAGGCAGCCCTGCAGCTTCAGAGCAGGGAGCAGGGCAGGGTGACAGCCCCAGTACCTGTTGCCTTTGGTGCAGAGGCAGCTTTGTCCTTAGTAACTGCACTCCCACCTCCGGTGGCTTCATCGGCATCTGTGCGGAGAGGGCAGAGGCATTGTGCCCAGCCCTGCATGCCACAGGGAGCATGACCAGAGCTCACCCACGCACCCATCTGCCCCATGAAGCTCAAAGAAGACCCTGGCCACTTTGCAGCAGCAACTGCAGCTGGGGCCCAGGGTATGGCCATGATCTATCCCATGGCTGCTACGATGGAACCAGGAAATCCACAGGGAAGGGCACAGGGATGGTACTGGGTTCTTCTCCTCGCCCCTCACCAGTGCACAACCCCAATGTAGGAGGGAGTGATCCCCAAACCCACACAGGGACCCCCAGCACCCAGCCAGTGGGTGCCAGCTCACCTTTCCCTGACACTGCTTTCAGGACACTGCCCACGAAGGAGCTGCCGGTGCGGTACGGAGTGCGGGGTGGCGGCACGCCGGTTTGCGTCAGGCGGGGGTCCAGGCACGGTGGGGTGTCTGCCAGCCCGGTGTCCGCCAGCCTGGGGTCCGTGGAGCCGGGGTCCAGGCTCTGCTTCTTGATGGGGCATCATCATCCTTCAGAGGGGAGGGAGAGCACAGCACCAGAGCATGGCTTGTGACAGTCTGCACTGCCCCAGCAAGAACGGGGGCCTCTAAGCCTCACCATGGAGACCCCCAAGGGTCTGACCCCACCCTGAATCATCCCCTTGTCCTTGTCCCCAGGGCTGGGCTCCTACCTCCTCTGGCAGAGCAGCCCTGAGGCAGTCAGCGAGCTCCTGCAGCCGTATCTTGCTCTCAGTGATGTCCGCCGAGCACCAGGAGACTTTCTCCCTTTTGAGCTGCAAGTCGAGGAGCTCAGCCTTGGTGTTCTCCAGCTCCTGGCTGAGGGCAGCCTGCTCTTCCCTGCAGGATGGCATCAGCCTCAGTGGGAGCAGCACTTGGCATGGGATGGGGACATTTCCCATGCCTTCCACTGTGATTCAGGGGCAGGAGTACAAACACCACAGATTTAGGCAGCTTTCCCCAATATGGGGCCTGCTGGGCTTCCCCATCACCTCTTTCAACCTCCTGGGCAACCACGCTTGGCTGGGCAGCGGTGACCAGAGCCACATCCCCCTGTGTCCCTCCCCACTCCCAAGGAAGGGCTTGATTTCCCAAAACAGAGGGGTTCAAGCAGAGGTGGTGAGCAGGGTGGGTACCGCAGGCGCTGGTGGGAGTCCATCAGCTCCTCGTACTGCAGGCTGCGTTCCTGCAAGGTGGCCAGTGAGGTCTTCAGCCTGGCCTCCACCTCCAGCAGCTGCGTGCGGGACATGCGGTTCTCCTGGTCAAGAAACTGCAAGAGCGTTGGGAGACACAGCCATGAGAGCCTGGATGGAGACCTGAGGGGGCCTGTTAGGACCCCCAGCACAGTCCCTCCCACTCCTCAGGGTGCTGTTTCCAATTAGGGGCAACTTTACCCCAGCAGAACAACCCCTGGAGACCAGTAGTTTAATAAGGACATAGGACAGGCTGTGGGACAGCACCACACCTTCAGCCAGAGCAATTATCCCAGAGAGTTGTCCCCCCCACACCAGGCATCACCACCAGGCAGGATGGAGAGCCATGCTACGTGTAGGATGTCAACTGCCCTCCCTCACTGTGCTCACCCCCACCATGGGAGGGCTAACGCCACTCCTGGCTGGCCACCAGCGTTCCCACGAGGGCCAGCAGCGTGTGATGGCACAGGCAGGGTCAGGCAGCTCCTACCTCCCGGCACTCGGTTGCCTCCCGCAGCTCCTGGCACAGCCCCTTGCACTCCCGCTGCAGGGTTTCCTTCTCCCGCGCCAGCCTGCGGAGACAGGACAAGGTCAGGGGGTGCCGTGTTTTGGGGGTGAGGGATGGCAGAAGGTGACTATGGGGGGGGGCTAATGCTCTGACCCAAAGTTCAGACCCACCAGGCCATCTCCTCCCACTGCTTCTCGTTCTCCTGCTGCAGCGCATCCCGCTCCTGCTCCAGGTTGGCCAGATTCGTCATCAAGGAGCTCAGGTCTGTGAGGGGCAGAGCTGTTGGCACCAGGGGGGACGAGGACAGTGGGGACAGGGGTAGCTCCATCCCCTCATATCATCCACCCCTACCTGCACTGAGGCGTGAGTTGGCCACTGTCAGCTGCTCCACCTGAGCCACCGCATCCTGAAGGGCCACCGAGGTCTCCTCCAGCTGGCAGGACACCTACAGACACGTTGCCCTCTGAGCTCACTCTGGGCTGCTCTTCCCCATGGGGTGTCCCCACACCAAGAGGTCCCAAGTCACCCCATGCCTGGGGTCAGCATCCCTGACACCTCCAGGTACCACTCAGCACTAGGCAACCCCCTACCTCCTCCTTGGCTTGAAGAGCTTCATCTGCTCGCTGCCTCGTGGCATCCCGCTCCTCCAGGCAGCCCCGCAGCTTGCCGGGAACGCTCTCCAGCACAGCGCGGCACCGCGACACCAGAGCCCTCGTCTGCTCCCGCTGCGAGGGGAGATGGCACTGAGCAGAGCTGAGCATGGCATGGCCATGTCAGCTGGTGGCTCTGCCCAGCGGTGTGACCAGGGACGGGTCTGGCAGCCAGGCTGCCTGCGGTACCCAGGGCACAAAGTGCTCCGAGATGGAGTGAAGCGGCACCAGACTGGACTGCACCGGCAGGGAGGAGAGGGGCTGAGCCTGCTGCCAGCCCCCATGGGGACACCCCTCACCTCCACATCCAGGGCTCTCCTTTCCTCCTCCAGATTCTCAAAGGTGATGTCTATGAACTCCCTGAAGGGCTGAGCCTCAGCAGCCAGGGATGCCTGTGGGGCAGGAGATGGGTCAGTGCTGCAGCGGTGAAAGAGCCACATTCAATGGCCACGGAGGGAGGTGAGTGCCAGCCCCAAGGCTGGATCTGCATCAGCTTCCTGGCAGCAGCACCAAGAAACCTCTGATGGACCCAAGCCCATCTCACACCATTGCTCAGAGCATCACCCAAGCCCAGGACATGGAAATGTCCTTCCAGCTCCCCCAGAAAAGAGGCAGCCGGAGATGCCCACACGCTCGGTACCTGCAGGTCGATGGCATCCACCAGCAGCGTGCCCAGCTCTTGCTGGGAGGCCAGGCTCTGGTCACGGGCGCTGATCCGGGCGCTGGCATGGGCACGGAAGGCCTCCAGGAAGCGATCGCCCTGCCGAGGGAAGGATGCTGCTCTGGACACGGTGTCACACGAGGGGCATCTCCCAGGAGCTGTCCCCACATGCTGCTGCAGCACAGGGCTCCTGCTCCCAGCAGGACACAGCCCGAGCCAAAAACCCACCCCGAGCTCCAGCCACCCCAGGCAGCCACAGCCCTCCTGACCCTCCAGGGCCAGGTCAGGCTTTTCCCCATGGATACCAGGGAGACCTTCCCCCTCCACAATGACGTGGACATCCCATCAAAGGCACAGGAACAGCAGAGCCTGCCCTGATTCCCTCACCAGCTGCGCCCCTACCTCCTCCTTGGCTCGGAGAGCTGCGTCTGCTCGCTGCCTCATGGCATCCCGCTCCTCCAGGCAGCTCCGC